TGTTGTTGACCCAGCATATCCCCAAGCCCCAAAGGTAGCTGGAAAGGTGTGAAATTAGCATGGTCTATGGCATTAAAATGTCTTATATAGTTGTGGTTTTTCTTCTTTAGTATACCGCATTCATCGTACATCTTACATCGTGTTTATCATGAACATGTGTGTGAAAGACCTTCAATGTATTCTTGTAGTTTCTGTAGTTTCCCTGAGGCCAACCAGCCAATAGTAAAAGCAGGTTTTGCTCTAGTGTTTTGTTCCTAGTTCAATGATGCCTTTTCAGTTCAGTGTAAAAGTTCAAATAGTTCAGTGCTTCTAAAGCTCTGCATGAGTTCAGTAAGTCGATTTAAGCAATGGGATCCTATCCAATGTACACACTGCACAAAGCGCAAATGTAAAACAATGAATGGAGTTCATGAACTCCACATCAACAGGTTTAATAAAGTGTGTGTGTGTGTCTCTGTGGTCTAAGCTGAGTCAAGGCTGTAAGTATTTTCTCTGTTAAACACAAAGGGTAAATGCAAGATATTTATTTTATAATCTTTTTTGGTTGTCTCTCATCCTCCTGCAAAGTGCTCAGTGAAGCTGCACGTTTTCACAGTTTCACACTAAATGTTTGGAAAATAATCGAAATAATGCTGTTTTTAGTATCTAGAAAGCAGATCTAAGGAACGTTCAACAGCCACTTAATTCTTTAATCTAGAGAGACAAGAGACAGACTGTCTGCAAATGTGTTGATAGTTAGTGGTTGACACCCTGGGATAAAAATCCTGTGCACCATTATCACCACATAAATCCTACTACACATGACACTGGTGGTCATCATGCCATTTCACTTTCTCCAAAACTCTTCTCTCCATTCAGAGCTTGAATGTCATGATGTACTTAGTCATTTTGTAAGCTTATGATTTTGTTTAATTTCAGCTTTTTGTTTATTTGCTCAGTCATGAAATGTAGCAGAAAAATTACAGGATAAGAATGAACTTGAACGGCGAACCAAACACTTTCTAAATGCATTTTCTGCTAGCAGGCTGAGCTGTATCTGTGAGGAATGCCAAGAAATTGTCATTATCCATATATGGTCCATTCCCACAGTGGTGGGCAACAAACTAGTGTGTTTTAGTTGGCTTTGAGTTTTGTTTATTTGTCTTTTGAACTTGCTACCATCAAGTGGTGTACTGTGTCATTGTGTTGCCAGTTTAGTCTCTCTTTAGGCTCACTGGTTGAAAAACTGTTGTTTAAGCCCTTATTTGCATTGCAGTTGTTTTGGGAGAGATTTAAAGAGAGCTCAAGGAAAATATTCTTTTTGATGGATGGATGAATGTAATGCCACATCATTACAGCATCTTTTGCAGGGTTACATTGTCTGTGTTGTAGGCTTTAGTACCACTGTGTTCACTGTCTGTTTAAGGCAGACATGTAACTGATGTTGCAGCCGTGGCCCAAGTCCCACCAGCTAACCAAACACACCTTTACCCCTGGTACTCTGGTCACTTTCCCTGGAGACACAGCCTGGAGACGGAGCAAGAGAAAGGAGACAGATGCATTGAATTAATTATTGAGAATATGTACTCATTGTTCCTTTTCAGAGTCACGCAGAAATTAGGCTGTAATGCCTTTACTTAATCAATACATAATATGCTTGATATATTATTATTATACAGAAATGTCCCCAAATTAAATATTAACTATTGTTCTCCTCAACCATTTCAAGGAAGGCCAAGCTTTTTAACTGTTACAGGAAATGTTAATGTATTCCTTTAAAAAAAACAAAAACATTGCATTTTTACCATCTCCTCATCATGGAAACATTTGATGTGGTAAATTTACTTTGTAATGTTTATAGAAAACCTGCTGATGTGACATCTACTTCCTTCAGTCGTCTTGACAGGGCAGGAGGATGTTCGTCAAAGTGAGGTTTCAACGTTAATTGTGTCAAATAGTGAAACTAACCGTCACTGTTTCCCCAAGTCATATTTGTGTCAGTGTTGTTGTTTTGTCTCTGCACTAAGGCCTTTATGAATCTTTTCTAACCGATCGCTTTCAGAACAGTGATTCAAAAAAGATGTCACACTACACACAAGATCGTCCCGATGTTATGTGTGTTGTGTGAGGAGTGTGTGTTTGGGAGTGTCCACATCAGCAGCAGAGCATGTCCTGACTGGTCTTTGTTGTTATGAGCAGATATGTAAAAGAAAAAAAAATCAGGCAGGCAGAAGGAGATAGACGATGTTTATGTTGGAGAACAAGAACAGTAATATTAAAGTCTGAGAGGAACTGTCTAGTCAGAATGTTAAGACTTCATTTCCACACCACATTTTTTCTATGCATACTGTTTTAATGCATAAAACAGCTTCGTATATAAACAGTTGCATGTGACATTGTTAATTTAGTTAAGAAAACAGGTTTCATGCACAAAAACACCCACAACACTCACACACATACAAAACAGCTCGAAGCTCTGCTGAGAAATGATGAAGAAATAGTGACATCACATAGAAAGAAAAGCATTTCAGTGGGTGATTTGATGATGTCACCGTGTCCTGTCATCACCTCCCACGGCACTGTTCCCATGGATAGACACACAGCCGTCACGTTTTGAATTAAAACGCACTATAGGCTACCTTCATGACAATCTTTTGGCATGGTGACTTCTTTCTCTTGGCCACATAGCGTGTGTGTGCGTGTGTGTGCCAGCCATGTGCAGTTTCTGTGTGTTTTCTCTGCTGCCACATGGCCTGATCTAATCCAATAAACTGAATGGACCTGTCATCCCTTACAGGCTCACTGAAGGCCTCTAATCACACACTCACACACGCAAACACATGGTATTTTCTATACAGTGACCGCTTTACTAGACAACACTGTGTGGTGTTTCTATATATGATTGTAATTCCAGGGTTAAGGGTTGGTTTTGGAGGATTAACACACAGAATTCCCATAGCCAGTGACATTGGTTTTATGTGTAATAATATACAGTATGTGAGTCTGATGTGGCAGTGATGTTAACATATGTTCTGAATGTGTCTGTTAGCCACGTCTCCCAACGCCGGATCAGAACTAGAGCAGGCCAGACCTCAGACCAGCGGAGAGGAGGAGCTACAGCTGCAACTGGCTCTGGCCATGAGCAGAGAGGCTGCAGAACAGGTACACACTCAAACATACATACAAATTATCTGCTGGGTTCCTATAAATCCCTGAATCTAAAAAAAAGACATTGAGTTTCCCACTTTTCCGCATGAACATTTCTGAAATAAGATTACTGCCACTTGTCTATTAGCCAAATGACTTAGCATAGATAATTGTCTCTGGTTAGCATTTGTAAAGAACTGAAGCAAATCAGCAAATATAACCAAGATGCATAAGTTTGTGTGGCACTATGATCTGTTATTCTCGTCAGCTTTTGCTGTATGAGCTGCAAAATTGAAATTAAATGTCCACAATAGTGAGATCAGTCGGTCTAGTTTCTAAGCATGCTGCTTATGCTAAATTTGCTCTGCTTGTGTTAAGGAGGAGCGCATACGCAGAGGGGACGACCTGAGACTACAGATGGCCCTGGAGGAGAGTAAGAAAGAAGGTCCGGAAACAGTAAAAGTTCCCAAGAGGAAGAAAGAGGTAAAATGCACACAAACATGGAGACTAGAGTGACTTATTCTGTTTTCATGACCATGACCCTGAAGTAGTCTCGTCTCCCGTAACCTCTCTGTCTGCCTGACCCTGTCTGCTGCTTCAGAAGCAGTAATAAAACCGCTAACTGGCAGCAGATAGCGTGGTTTGCTCATCATTATTCTGCCTGAATAGCTGGCTGACTGAGGTTTGAGGGAACACAGAGCCGAAGCGATGAAGTACGGCTGCATGAGTACGGCTCATGTTTTATCGTAGCACATAATGACGTGACCACCGCCACTATGTTT